CGATGGGAAGCCCAGGATCCTGGGGGCTCTTTCCCCATCCTGTGGAAGCCTGAGGTCCATCCGCGGGGGGCGGAGGAGGCAGAGGAGGCCTGGGCGGGCTTCTCCTCATCCATGGCCATTGTCCTGTTCCTGTCCATTGGCGCCGTCCTGTCCTGCAAAGAGGGGGAGAGGGGGAGGGAGAGGGAGGGAGGGAGAGCGAGGGTGAGGGAGCCGCTGCTGGGGAGCAGCTGAGATGGACTGAGCTCTGCACCCCTTATATACCCCTGGGGCAGGGCGGGGTCTGGGGTGTCACAAAGGCCTCTGGGCACACCCATGTGCCACCTCACAAAGGGCCCTGGAAGGTGCCCCCATGTCACAAAGGGCCACCCCCGGCCCCCCATGGACAGCGGGACCGCCTGGACCCGGCCCGGGGCAGCCCCGGCACTTGTGGCCTTGCAGCCCCTCCTTCAGTCCCTGCTGTGCCCTGAACCTTCCACTTCGTGGAGGTCAAGTGGTGACAAAAAAAGAGAGTTGTGTTGTTGTTTTCAAGGTCAATACCTAGAATTGGGAAACTCCCCTCCCCACTGGTGGGGTTACTATTTAGTTCACTTTTTGCTGCCAAACAAATGGTAGAGTTTCCTCTTTTTTAAATTCTTAAAAAAGGGAATATCTCCAAACAATTTCCATTTAAGCAAAAGTCCTAAAAATGTGTCCCCCTGGGTGAGGAATTGGGCAGTTCCAGCCTCAGTCACCACGGGGGCCCTGCCAGGTTTGGGCTGAGCAGTGTTGGACTCACAGGAGATTGTGGTTGTGCCAGGGAAATGAGGCAAGAATAAATCCAGGGTTTTATACAGTTTCCCTGTGTGCTGTCCCATTCCTGAGAAGTGCTGGACAAGAGGGAGATGGGGTCAGGAAATCTGGAGAGGAGTCTCTGTTCCCTCAGGCCCCGATCTTGGCTTGGTGTGAGCAGGGACAGGACCCAGGGAAGGGCTGGAGCTGGGACAGGGCAGGCTCAGGGTGGATCTCAGGACAAGGTTCTTCCCGCAGAGGGTGGTGGGCACTACCCAGGCTCCCCAGGGCAGTGGGCACGGCCCCAAGGCTGCCAGAGCTCCAGGAGGGTTTGGACAACGCTCTGAGGGACAGGGGGGAGTGTTGGGGTGTCCTGGGCAGGGCCAGGGCTTGGAGTGGATGATCCTTGAGGGTCCCTCCCAACTCAGGATATTCTGTGATTCCCTGATTATTTCTGCTGCCAACACCCGCCTTGCTCCCGAGAGGGACCAGGAACAGATGAGCAGGATTGGAAAACTCAGCATTTTTTCTGACCAGGTTGTGCCAACCCAGCCATAAGGGAAAGGGAGCAGCCAAGAGTTGTAAATGCTTGTGGTGGGAAGAAGCGAAAAGAGTCAGAGAGTCCACAAACAATTAGAGAGTTTTATTAAACATTTATTAATTTGTTGTTATTGCTACTGGTTATTTGTTATTATAGTATTATTACTTGTTATTATATTATTTGTTATTTCTAATTTGCTGTTAATACTGCTTGTTAATAATTTCTTGTGTCTGGGACATCACAAAGGTCTCTGGGCACCCCCACGTCCCACATCACAAAGGGCCCTGGAAGGCGCCCGTGTCACAAAAAGGGACACCCCCCGCAGCGAGATCACCTGCCTAAATTAGAACTTGTTTCAAGTATTTCTTTTTTTAAGAAAGAAAAAAAGAGGAGACTATATCCTTTGTTTGGCGGCAAAAAAGTGCACTAAATAGCAACACCACCAGTGGGGAGGGCAATTTCCCAATTTTAGGTGTTAACACGGAGAAAAATAATACGACTCTTCTTTTTTTATCGCCCCTTGACCTCCACGAAGTAGAAGGTTCCCCTCACACCGCCTGCAAAGGCTGCCGGGATCTAAATTCCTCCTCGGCAACCTGAGGACGGGAATAGGGGAATTCTGCACGACACAAGACATTTACACTGGCCAAGCACAGCAAGGCCCGTTAAGTAAGAACACCCTTATTGTTCTGGGGAGAGGCGAGCACTGGGCTGGTTTAGTTTTAGCTTTATTTCTATGTTTTCGTGGGTTTTTTTCCCCCCTCGGAAGCCCCTGAGGGCGCCTGAGGGGGCGCGCGGGGCGGGAAAGGCGGGAGAGCGCGGGGGGGGCGGCCCGTGTGGGGAGACCCACAAAGGGGGTTTGGGGGTCCCGGGGCTCAGGGGAGAGGGTTTTGGGTCCCGGGGTGTGGGGAAGGGTTGGGGGTCCTGGGGCTCAGGGAAGGGGTTTGGGGTCCCGGGGCTCAGGGGAGAGGGTTTGGGGGTCCCAGGGGTGTAGGGAGCGGGTTTGGGGGTCCCGGGGCTCAGGGGAGCGGGTTTGGGGGTCTCAGGGTGTGAGGAGCAGATTTAGGGGTCCCGGGGCTCAGGGGAGTGGGTTTTGGGGGTCCCGGGGTGTGGGGAACGGGTTTTGGGGGTCCTGGGGCTCAGGGGAGTGGGTTTGGGGTCCCGGGGCTCAGGGGAGAGGGTTTGGGGGTCCCAGGGGTGTAGGGAGTGGGTTTGGGGGTCCCAGGGCTCAGGGGAGTGGGTTTGGGGGTCTCAGGGTGTGAGGAACGGGTTTTGGGTGGGTCGCGGGGTGTGGGGAAGGGGTTGGGGGTCCTGGGGCTCAGGGGAATGGGTTTGGGGTCCCGGGGCTCAGGGGAGCGGGTTTGGGGGTCCCAGGGTGTGGGGAGTGGGTTTGGGGGGTCCCGGGATGTGGGGAGCAGATTTAGAGGTCCCAGGGCACAGGGGAGTGGGTTTTGGAGGTCCCGGGGCTCAGGGGAGCAGGTTTGGGGGTCCCAGGGCTCAGGGGAGTGGGTTTTGGGTGTCCTGGGGTGTGGGGAACGGGTTTTGGGGGTCCTGGGGCTCAGGGGAGCAGCAGCGGTGCCTCTGTCCCACCCCTGCCCGGCATTGTTTGGGTTCCAGAGGGGTTGTTACCCCGAGGGGGGGACAAAGGGGGTTTTAGCTCCAGAGGGGGCACAAAGGGGGTTGTTACCCAGGCATGGGAGCACATCCATGGATCAACCCCGGGAACTTCGTGATATTCAGCTCAATCCACGCATCCCCTGGGTCAGAACAGCACTGCTTTTGCCATGTCCAGGCCGTTCCCAGACCGCTTCCATCCTGCTGTGCCCAGTCTCTGCTCAACACCAGGCTGAGCCCGTGCTCCTGGAACACCCAAAACTCCAAGTCTGAAACGTCAGCCTTTCTGCACAGTATTTATTTATACACAAAACCAGTGCGTTTTGATCACATACAAGTTTTGATCCTGCAAACTCAGATTTATATAGTTTTATTTTTTACAAAAAATACATTTTAACAAGTAAATAAAAGCCATTTCCATTAGTCCACCCTTCTCCAAAGTGTAAATGTACATTGTAAATTTTTCCGTTTTTAAGATAGACATGTGCTGTATCTTGCCAGTTGTCTACAAGAAATTCAACCAGAGTCTGGTGAAACAGAATAAATAATGACAACGAAATGGAAAACTACACACCGAGAAATGGAAAAGAGACACTTTTTAAAAGTCCTCCCTAGTTCTGGTACAGCCACCCATTCACAAACCAAACCCTCCCTTTCTGCTTCCTAAAGTACAACAGTCCTGCATTGCCCTTCTTGGCCTATTTGAACAGAGATCTTAAAAGTGAAACACTGGAAAGGAACCCCCTGAACTGCAACTCCAGGGAACATCAGCTGAGGAACTCAGGACAGGAGCAGTGCCAAGGCCAGAAATGTTGGCTTTAGGAAAAAACACACTTCCTAGGAATTCACATCTTGAACACTTGATTTTTTTTTTTCCTCTTCTTTTGATTTAGTTTTTATATTTCAGAGCAAGAACCCTTTTTCTTGAATAGCTGTTTCATAAATCACAGGATCAGCCGGGTTGGAAGTGACCTCCGAGATCATCAAGTCCAACCCTGGATCCAACCCCGCCGTGGTTCCCAGCCCATGGCACTGATGCCACATCCAGTCTGTCCTTAAACACCTCCAGGGACGGAGAATCCACCCCTTCCCTGGGCAGCCCATTCCAGTGTCTGATCACCCTCTAAAGAATCTGGGGGACAAATCCCAGCACAGAGTCCAAGGTGCACTTGCCGTCTTTGCTACCCCTTTGGTCATTGCTGATGCCTTGGGAAGAAAATCCTGGAAGTGGCTGGGAATGCTGTCCCCACTGGAACAGCCATTGCTCTCGGGACCCTTTCTTCCAGGAGGTTTGCCCAGGACCATGGAAAAATGGGAACATTTAGAGCACAGAACTCTGAAAGGGGTGATGTGGCAAAGAGGGACTCCCTTACCTCACCTATAATCCAAGATGTCTAAACCGGGGACATTTGGATGTTTTCAGCTCTGGCTCACTCTGTAGTTCACCCCACAGAGAAGGAAACATCCCTCCTTTTCCAAGGGCTCCCATTCAACCAGTTCATCACCAGTTTTCAGGATAAAACCCTTAAGGAATCGCTCCTCTTGTGGCACTAAACCACAAATATCACCCAGATGGCAACGTTTTCACCCACTACTTACATTTCCATCCCATGAAAGCATCAGCCAACATTGCTGGGAGCAATGGAACAATCCTGTGGGATACAACAGCTCTGCCTGGGAAGAACATCAAGGAAGTTCTTTTTTGCATCTCTAAGATATTCCACTACTGACACTTTAGTAGAGGAAATAATCACAAGTATTAATTAATGCTCATGGAAGAGCCAAAGTGAACGAAAAAGCTTCGGTAGAAAAGTATTAAGATTCCTAATCGTATAAACATTTGCAAATTTAATTACAAATACATTTCAAAAGCAAAATCCTTAACTCGGTACATCGGGGCTGGTCAGTATGGACAACGTTCCTTCAAGAGGGAGTGAAGGGAACACCCACTGCACCTGTGGGAACATGGAAACGTGCCCAGTCTATACACTTAGAGATAAAACTGGAGACCAAAGGAACAGGCATTATATACATTTTGGAACCTCCAGGAAGGTTATGATGGAAGATCAACCAAAACTCTGCTAAAACAGGAAGATATTAAGTACTACTGATTTCATGCATTTGTTCTACGACCTGCCCTAGGATTTCATCCACGACATCGATGTCATAATTGACTTGCTGCAGGTCCAGGTCGGGCAGCATCGTGGCCAGAAGTTGTCCAACGTTCACTCGCAGAGAGCGGAGTTTCAGGCTGGGGAGAAAGAATTCCGGAGGGTTAGATGGAGTTTTGTGTTCAAACACAGAGTTAGTTCTTTATCTGACAGAGCTGGACTGGAAAGGCTCTGGGTGTGACTCCCACAAACCAACACAAAACTGATGCAGTTCAAACTGCACAGGAGTTAAGAGGTCCAGTCCAGGCAAAGTGCTTTGCCTTTTCTTTTCCTTTCTTTCCTGGAAGTCCCTGCTCTCTCCTATTCCTGATCCAATTCCTTTCAAATGAGCCATCCCTTCTCTCCAATGTTTCCTTGCACCCTCAGATCCTTTATCACCTCCAGGAACCAGTTTTCACAGTGCTGTCATATCCCAGCCAACTGGTGGGGAAGTTACTTCCAAGTCCTGCATAGATTTGCTCGTTCTTTTATGAAACACAAGTCAGGTGCTGGAAGTAAAAATAAAATGAAATGCTGCTGGCAGATCATTTTTCCTGGGGGTAAATCTCTTCTTGGAGATTGAAAGGGGGCTCTGGAAATTCTCCAGCTCAATCTCTACTCCCCCTGCCAAACATTCAGAGCCAGGGCTAACTCAGAGCAGGGTGCTCAGGGCCTTCTTGAGAATGTCCTGAGGTGGAGATTCCACAGCTTCCCCATGTCCTTTTTCCAGGCCTTGACTACCCTCCCTACCCTCACTGTGAAAGCTTCTTCTGTCTAATATTTCAACAGGAATTCCCTGGTTGCAGTTTGTGGCTGTTGCCTCTCATCCCATCCCTGTGCTCATGAGAAGCTTCATCCCTACGTGCTCTCACCAGGCTGCAGGAGAGAGCAACAGGATTCCAAGAGATCCCACTCTTTGTGAGGCTCTTTCCCTCAGCTTCCCCTTCTCTCTCAGGTGCTTTGGGCCCTTCAGCAGCCCTGCTCCTCTCTCCCAGTGTCACTCCAGGGTGCCCAGAAGTGGGCACAGCACTCCCCGTTTGGTGTCTCAGAGCCCAGGAACAGCGAGGAATCCCTTCCCCACCTGCTGCCTGGACTCTGGCCAGCACAGCCCAGGAGGCACTGGTTTCTCCCACCACAAGAGTGCACTGCTGACTCACATTCCACTCCCACTGCCCCAGCACCACAGGGCACCTCCTCCCAAGCTGCCTCCCTAGGAGTGGGCTCCAGCTTGTTCACCGGCATGGACTTTGCTGGTGCCTGGGTTGAATTTTCAGGTGGTTTTTTTCAGCCCGTTTTTCCTGTTTCTCAAGGTCCCTCAGCAGCAGCTCTGCCCTCCTGAGTTCTCTCCAATTTGATGGCAGTGTGAATTTATTGAGTTCATTTTGCTCTGTCATACAGACCATTAATCCCAGAATCATCAGGGCGGGAAGAGACCTGCAGGGTCATCCAGTCCCCCCGTTCCCAGCACCACCAAATCACCCCTAATCCATGTCCCCAGGGGCCACATCCAGGGACCTCTGGAACACTCCCAGACACAGGGACTCCACCATCTCCTTGGGACACTTATTCCAAGACCTGAACACTCCTGCAGGGAGAAAGTTTTTTCTGATCTCCAACCTGACCCTGCCCTGGTGCAGTTTCCTCTCCTCCTTTCCCTTGGGACATGGCAGCAGAGCCCGACCCCCCTCCCTGCCCCCTCCTGTCAGGGAGTTGGGGAGAGTAATGAGGTCCCCCCTGAGCCTCCTCTTCTCCAGGCTGAGCCTCCTCAGCTCCCTCAGCTGCTCCAGCCCCTTCCCCAGCTCCATTCCCTTCCTTGGACATGCTCCAGCCCCTCGATGTCCTTTTGGAAGTGAGGGCCCAGAACTGGACACAGGACTTGAGGTGCAAAAGCATTAACCATTCCTGGCCTTGCTCTTGATCCACACTCTGCCCTCAGTCACTCCAAGAACTGGTTGTTCTTAATCCCTTTGACTACAATGGGGCTGCAGGTGCCTTCCAGGTGGATTTGTTCCACGGTGTTCCCTGGGAATGAGGCTACAGTGACCAGGCTGGAGCTGTGCCTGTCCTAAATATGGGCTTAACAACTGCCTTTTTCCGGGCATCAGGAATGCCAACTGCCACAACCTTTTGGACAGACTGCAAGGGCAACTCTCCCTCCATGGGCCAGCTCCTTTTGATGCCTCTCATCTGGTCCTATGGAGGTCCCTTAATTCAATCACTTCACCCCTTAGATCATCTCCTGGCTCAGGGCCCCCAGCTCATCCCTGCTTCCATGTGCTCTGTGTCCTCTGTGTGTGTGCAGTTCCTATTTACCAAGAGCTGCCAGCTCTCTATTTGTAAGTTTAAACCCTGCTTTAGTTCAAAGCTACACTCTGGACACAATCCAATTCCACAGGACTGGCCTGCAGCAAGGAGTTCTTCCAGGAAAGTTAAATTTCAAACCTCTTTTCAGTCCAGTACTGTTGCTTCAATAAAGAAAAACAGACTCTACAAGTGAAGTACAACACACAGCATAAGCTAAACATCACCCTCTTCCCTGCCTCCCTTTTCTCTCCTTGGTCTGCAAGTCATGTCTAGAAATTACAGAACATTTTTGATATTTTAAGAAGTATCAGTATGGCATTTCTATTGTGCCAACCCTGCTCACACAAACACACAAACCATAAGTTACAGAAACCACTTGATAAAAAAACCATTACTGAGTTCGGAGTCACACGAGGCAGCAGGAAAGAATTCCAAACATCACATTTTATTATACAATTATCAAACATAACCTTCATTAAAACGTTTCAGATACAATAAAACAGCCAAAAAAAAAAAGTCTTCCTTGAAATATCATCTAGAAAGAACAAAACTGATACCTTTCTCCATCAGAAAAATTTACAGTCTCTTCTACATTACTGGTGGTAGAACCATTTGCATGTGCAACTGCTTGTGGAATTGAAGCTTTCAACTGGGCGAGTTCTGCCTTGAGCTCTTCACACTGACAGGCCATTTGGTTTTTTTCCACTTCTAGTAGTTCAATCTGGCAACAAAAAAGAAAAGAAAAAGCTATAAAGCCCATACAGCAGGTTGTGTGTTAGAGCTGCTACGAAACAGGCAGTAAAGCCCGGAGACAAGGGAATGTTTTAACCACATACCTCACTTTTGTACCTGTCCCTCTCGATGCTGCACTTGTCCAGCTGCCTGAACACATTGTCCAGCTGCACGGCCATCTCCTCCACCTCACTCTTGCTCTCCCCATCAGCACATTTGCTGCACTCAGTTTTTAGG